GACATTACCACCACCACCACCACCACCTACCCCCACCCACCACCACCCACCACCACCCACCACGACCCACCACCACCCACCACCACCCACCACCACCCACCACCACCCACCACCACCCACCACCCACCCACAACCACCAGCACCAGCACCAGCACTAGCATCAGCACCAGCAGCAGCACCAGCAGCAGCACCAGCAGCAGCACCAGCAGCAGCACCAGCAGCAGCACCAGCACTACCACCAGCACTACCACCAGCACTACCACCAGCACTACCACCAGCACTACCACCAGCACTACCACCAGCGCCAGTTCCAGTGCCAGGGCCAGCGACAGCACCAGCACCAGCACCAGCACCACCCAGCAACATTTCGGGAACCACAGGCTCCATCACGAGGAACCGGAACCAGCACCGGCACCGGCACCACCGATATCGTCGTCATCATCATCATCATCATCATCATCATTATCAACATCATGGGCACCATCACAGGCAGCGCCTTTTAACGAGTTCAGAGATTTTTCGCTGCCCGGGCCTCAAACAGTTTCAAGAAGTCTTCAGGCTTGAGAGATAGGGAGCATTGGGCCTTAATTTGAGGTTTCAGGCCGGATTGCACCCCAAAGTTTAGGCACAAACCTTCGATTCCGTTGGAATGAGGCATGCGTCAGCCAGGTTTGTGGTTTGTAGTCAGTACTGGCTTGAAGGATGTCGGATTCCACAGAGAAGTTCGGAGTTGCTGAGCCATCTGTCAGAGACACGGGGCTGTTGTTGGATGTCGTGTCGCGTCTTAGCACCATTCGGCCGGCGCATCGGCGAGTGCTTGGGGTGCACGGCGTTGGCCGTCCAGGAGGGAGAATTTTTCCATAAAGGCAGAAGGATTAGATGTAAACGCCGTTCCACTTAAGTTGGGTGGGCGGGGCTTCAAAACGCCAAAGGGTGGTCTTGAGCACCTTCAGACAGCTTTCCTTCCATTCATATAATTGCCAACGAGCCCTTGAGCATTGAGCATTCCGTAACCTCGCTTGTACGTCTCCAAAAAACGTTATACTGGGTCTTGATCGGATCTTCTACCGTTACAACTCCAAAGCTCCCTAACAAGAAGTCTGAACTTCATGACACAAGTCTTTCATGCGTCGAGGTTAGATATAAATCCTTCCCTCCACTATCCCTGAGCTCAACAGGTTGCAACCCCAAACAACCCAAACAAAGCTACGGGTTCATCTCAGCAGCATCACCTCCTGGCCCTGGGCAGAGCCAGGGCGAATCGCAAAGCTTCGGAGTTCTTCTTGCCTCTCAGACTCCACAGGATAGTACAGCGGTTTGGGTTACGGGTTTTTACTCGGCAGTACAGGGGTTGAGCCTGAAAAAATGATGTACATGGCGGGAGTTGGGAATATTCATTTGGGTGCTGCTGGACAAAAGGATCGTGAAGTTGCCCCACATTCGTCGTTAGTTTCACAAGCAGCTCGCAGATGCAGAGTGTCAGCATGGTGGTTTGAAGCTGGGAGCAGAGCTGACGGGGGATTGAAGGGCTCCCCTAGTTCTCGGCCCCACTTGGCCGTGCCGGTCAGTGACATGCTCGCACAGCACTATCACTATCTAACACACACACACAACCAGGATCTGACGCTCCCGAAGCGTGGTGCTGAGAGTCCTAATCCTTTGTTTGTGAGTCATGGGCCCAACACTCTGAGAAATGACTAACATTGGGGTTACAATTGCCAAACTTTTTTTTGAACCCAGGCCCTTCAAGGGGGCTGTCTTCGCGGTGCTCTATGGCTGCAAGTGATGATTTCTGAGCTGGCACCGTTCAGAGTTTAGGTTCTGCTGTATTTTCAGGCGAAGTGCTCAGCTGGGTTGGTTGGTTTGCGTTTCACATCTCTTGCGATTCCAGACTTGCCGTTCTTGCATGTGGAGCCTGGTTGTCGAAACCACAGCCAGGCCCAAACTTGACCGTGGCCAAAAGCATGCCGAAGTCCCTCAAGATCAAACCCCCACCAGCTGCAAGGATCCGCAGTGCTCTTCAGGCTGTGTCATTGGTGTTGGGCTACCGCACCCTGGCTGCATATTCATGATCACCTTGCTATAGGAGGAGTCGGGTCTTCGAGGATTCCAGTTATATAGACTCTAGACTGCAGGGCCCGAAGCCAACATTGGATGCACGAAGATTGGAACCTTTTTGGCTTTGAGGCTTTGGGTGCACCGTACATATTAGCACCGTGGATCAAAACTGCTCTGAGGGGCTGCAGGCGGCCAGGCGCAGAAGGCATGTGTCCGCGCGGGCGACAAACCCGTGTAGGGGCTGCGGGCGGCCACCGCACCAATCCTCACGTGTCAAAACTGGTGTAACGACTGCAAGCGACCAGTCACGTGCCAACTGGCGAATGGCGAAGGGCTTCGAATGGGAAGGCTAGGCCCTCAAACGCCAACTCTCACGTATCAATAATACTGGTGTCGGGTTTGCGGGCGGCCAGCACCTCTGACAAGACAACGGGCACTCAGCCCGGACAAACCCTCACGTGTCAAAACTGTCAAGTGAAGGGCTGCGGAGGCCAGCCCGCGCCAATCCGCACATGTGTCACAACTGCTGTGAAGCCGTCACGTGGTGAAACTTGTGCAACAGTTTGCAGCGGGGCCGCACCAACCCTCAGGTGTCAAACCAACCTGCACGTCTCAAAACTATTGTGATGGGCTGCAGTCGGCCAGCCCGTGCCAACGTCAACCTGTCAAAAGCGGTGTATAGGAGCTGCGGGCGGCCAGCCCGCGCCAATCCTCAGCACGTACGCACCAAATCACATGTGTCAAGACTCGTGCCGGGGCTGTGGGTGGCCAGCCGGCACAAATCCTAACCAAACCTAGCCTGCACCAAGCTGACACGTGTCAATCAGGGCCGCAGCCAGCACCCCCAACCCTCATGTGTCAGCACTGCTGTGGGCGGCCAGCGCACACCAAGCCTCGCGTGTCAAAACTGGTCTGCAAAGGCCAGCGTCTTCACGTATCCAAACTGGTGGGGGGCTGCCGGCGGCGGGCCACCCCTCTCGGTAAGAGGCAAAGACGGAATCTGCACAGCCCATACGATGCACAAAGCTGGTTAGTTTAGTTTTGTGTTTCGAATATTGCGAACGCTCATATCCGGCCCCTTCACATCTTTCTCTATTTGGAGTCAGCTCAGGCACTACAGCTCTGTCTGTGTTCTTTACACACCGCAGAAACACACCGACACCAACCCGCTCCCGAACCCGCTCCGGAACCTGCTCCGGAACCCGCTCCGGAACCCGCTCCGAACCCCTGCTCCGGGGCCCTCTCCGATCTGCTCCGAAGCTAAAAGGGCTGAAGACCCCAAAGCTAAAGCTGTTGGGGAAAGATTTCAAATGTCCTAACCAGCTGCATGTGCCCTTTGAAAGTGTACGTCAATCGCCGTTCGCTCTTCACTCCTCCGAACGCCCGATCAACAGGTTCGGGACGGCTAGAGGTTCGGGGGATCTGACCATCACCTATGTCCGAGAAACAGAAGAGAGAGAGAGAGAGAGAGAGAATAACAATTAGCATTGTAAATCCCCAATATCGTGGCGCAAATCAAAATCTTGCACATCGGAATTACTTAATAGCATGATGCAAGACAAAGCCTAATATCAATCCCCCAATAGCTTGGCGCAAATCGGGACCCTGCAGATTGGAATTCCCAAATCGCCTGATGTAAAACAAGACCTCACAAATTTCAAATCACGAATAGCTTGCCGCAAAACAAAAGCCTGGGAGTTGGAATCCCCCAATAGCTTGCGCAAGTCAAAACCCATAAAAATGGAATTCCCAAATAGTTTGATGAAACGCAAAATGGGGCTGCGACACCCTGACCCCCCATGCTGCATGCTTTTTTAAAACGTTAAGCCATGCGGACTTGCTTCAAGAACGGCGCGCCGTCAATGGAAATTCCTTCATGAAGGTTTGCTAAGAGCCCAATCATACCAGCATTGTGTTGAGGGGGCTTCGCCCCCAAAACCCGCAGCTCCCTCAAGCCGCGCGAACCTCTTTCGAAGAATGGCATGCCATGTGTGGACATTCCTTCAAGCAGCATTTCTACGAGCATGTATGCGGGGGGGCTGCAACCATTGTTGTAAAATCGTGTCAACGGACATTCCTTCATGAAGCCTTTCCAAGAGCACAATCATGCGAGCATTGTGGTTGCAAAATGAAGGGGGTTGCGCCCCCCCCTCCCCAACAATCCCGGTCTTTTTCAAGTGTAAGCCATGCTAACTTGCCTCAAAGATCGGTGACCGTCAACGCTTCATGAAGCCTTTCCAAGAGCCCAATCATGCGAGCATTTTGTTTGCAAATGGGGGTGCCCCCCCGCCCAACCCCGGCCGGCTAGTTTTAAACTTTAAGCCACGCGACCTGGCTTCACAGAATGGCGTGCCGTCAATGGACATTCCTTGATGAAGCTGTCCACGAGCCGAATCATGCGATCAATGTGGTTGCAAATGGGGGGCTGCTCCCCACTCCTTTAAGTGTGCGAGCATGCTTCAAAGAATGGCTTGCGCCCCCCCCCCTTCCTCCGCTTTTTAGAATTCTGAGCCATGTGCCGTCATTGGGCATTCTCTCATGAACCCAATCGTACCAGCATTGTCTTTGCGCCCTGCAAATCTAAATTCCCGGATAGCTTGATGCAAAGCAAGACCCTCCAAATTGAAATTCCCCCATAGCCTGACGCAAGACAGGAGTGTAGGATTGGTGATTACCCGTTAACTTGATGCAAAGCAGGACCTTGCAGACAGAAATTTCACAATGGCAGGAAATAAATCCCAGGACCCAGTTAGTTAATTGAAGCTCCCGAAAAACGTGACGCGAATCAGCACCCTGGAACTTGAAATTCCCCAGTAGCTTGCTGCCCGCCTGGAAATTGTAATCACCAATAGCTTGATGCAAACCTTCTTTAAGGCAAATCCTCCACCTGGAACGCATATTACCCCGTCTCCTCTCTATCATGCTTCTAAAATAAGACTAGTTTTCTTGATCACTAAAATAGTTCTGTTTGATGTGTAAAGTAGTCTTTGTTTGATATTCTAACACATTTTGTTGATGCCTCACCGGTTGCGGGCGACCCCAAGCCCAAGCCAAAGCAAAGCTGGTGGGGCGGGCTGCGGGCGGCCAGCCCGCTCCAGGTAGGTGTACAGGAGCCCGCACCAATCCACAGGCGTCAACACTGGTGCAGGGGCTGCGGGCTGCCAGCCGGCACCAATCTTCAATCAGACTTGCGATGGTGGGTGGCCAGCCCGCCTTCGCTTCTGTCAGAAACGGTGTCGGGCAGTGGGGGGCCAGCACGCACCAGCCAGCCCGCGCAAATCGTCACGTTACGACGTGTGAAAACTGCTGTGAGGGGTTGCGTGCGGCCAGCCCACATTAATTCCTCGCGCGGTGTCCAGGGGCTGCAGGTGGCCAGCCCACACTCTCTTGTAGGGCTGTGGGAGGCCAGCGCACTAAGTCCCGCATGTCAAAAGTGGCACAGAAGGGCTGCTGGCCGCTCACAGTTCACGGCTCGCTCTCTCACTCTTTTCTCTGATTCTCTGACCCATGCATGTGTGTGTAACTTCTGTCCACTTCTCGATTCGCATCCAGGCTATGCGCCCATTGCTGTGCAGCAGGTCACTGCCACGAAGCTGCAGGATAGCTCCAAAACAGGACTTGTGTAAAGCTGCTGAGGACAGGGAACCGACAGGTCGGGGCAGCGATGAGACGTGCAGTACTAGGCTCGAGAGCATGAATGCTGTCCATAACTCACAGCCGTAAACTGTGAACCCAAATTCTGAGAATTGCAAGCCTGAGCACGTCTGTCCTCAGTAAGCTTTTGCCTTCCACATCCGCCTTCAACCCGACATGCAGCCAGTCTAGGCTTGAGGACTGAGGGGGTCAGATGGTTCAGAGTTAATGGGTGTCAGCCATAAAAAATGTATCCCTTTCCAACACACAGCTGGCAAAGCTCCCGGTAAGTTTGAATTGAGGAAACATTGGGCCAATGGCACAGCACCAAAGTTTTCATGGCCCACTGGAAGGCCAGAAAGGGACATTGGGTCAGGAATAGAGCTCGGACATTCCTCGCACTCTAGATCAAGGGATGATTTAGGAGTGTGAGGCTCATATGCTTGTCTGCAGGCCGCTTGAAAGTATTCCTTCAGGCCGTCTCTATGCAGGTAGAAGTGTACGTTAAACATGCATTGGGCCGGCATCGTGTTGAAGCCGTGAAGCAGAGAAGCGTCAGGGCTCAAGAAGGCGGGAAGGTTTTTGAGGTCTTTGAGTCAAAGTTGCAACAGTTTCTGTTTCTGACACGGTGTCGAGGAATTTGCTTGGTGTCATCGGACCTTTGCCAACGATCCCCAAGATTTCCAGTTTGTAAAGCATAGACTGGCAACGCGACGACATGTCCTATTCGTGCTTGCCCCAGGAGGTTCCGAGCTTTGCTCTTCCATCAAGTTTCGAAACAGTTCTACTGCCAATTCATGCAGGAATCTGAACTCTTTGCAGAGTCCTTTCGGTCACAGTAAGGGGGGCCCAACAGACTGGTGACTGTGTCCGTCGATCATTCAATAATATTTTGAACATGGCCTCCTCGTGCGCAGACTGAAGACTCAACATCGTCAACATGAGGTTTCAGATCAGCTTCATGCTATTAAAACGCAGGTTTACTTGTCTCGCACCTTGCGTCTTTAAATTGACATACAGCAGTTCCAAGTGCAATCAATCCTTTCATTGCATATTTATGATCCTCACAGCTAAAGCTATCAAGAGGCTCAAGAAGGTGCACGCACGCGCACACGCACACACAAACACACAGAGACGCGGACACAGACACACACGCAGGCAGACAGACGGACGGACGGACGGAC